GCTCCAGCCTCTCCTGCTCCCTCTTCAGCCGCTGCTCTCGCCTCTCCTCCTGCTCCAACCTCTCCTCCTGCTCCAGCCTCTCCTGCTCCCTCTTCAGCCGCTGCTCTCGCCCCTCCTCACGACTTTGCAGTTGCTGCTCCTCTTCGAAGCCCTGCCTGTCACGCTGCCCAAGTTTCTCTTGCTTCTCTCTCTTCTCCTCTTCCTCAATGAGCTCCCTCTCCTGCCTCGTCTGCCTGCGCTGTTGCCCAGGTTCTTCTAATTGTTGTTCTCTCGGCTCAAATCTCCTTTGGTCTTCTTGCCTACGATCTTGTAACAGGTTCCCCTTACCCTCACACTGTGCGCCCTTCTCTTCTAGCCCTGAAGCCTGGCTAAGAGCATAATAACAAGCTTGAGCCACCTTGAAAATGAACAGGAGGAATTCATTGAAATCCACACGCCCATTACTGTCACGATCCAGGAGTTCCAGGATTAGATCTACAGTCTCAGGGTCATGCGGTCTCTGAAAAAAAAATGAAAAAAAAATTACAATGCCTTACTTATAGGTAGTAAAATTTCACTTCTATGTGGGCATTCAAGAGACATTCAGCGCAATGAGAAAAATGGCTAATCTTGTCCCCATGTTAAATTAAAGCATACATTCATTGGGATTTTTTGCATCTCAAAGTTTACTGCTAATCAAAATAATGCAGGTTAGTTGAGTGGATACAATGGAAGTTTATGAAAATTTGCAACACCTATGTCTGTCTGAAATAGCCAGTACCCATGATTTGAATTCTTTGCCATGTTTGAAAAAAGAAAACATTTATGATAACACAGTTTTAGCAGAGAACAGGCTGATTTCAATTCTTGAAATTTGGAAGCAAATTTAAGCCCCCCCCCCCCAATCTAGTGTGCTTTGACATCGTTGGTCATAATGTCCCAAGAACATCTCATTCACATTGCCATTGCCATCAGGTATGTGAAATATTTGTTAAGCAACTTTTTCAGTACTCAGACTACAATTCCAGTAATGTATCTTCAGACCCAGAAATGAATAGGAGTGTAGTGTACACGTGTCATGATATAAAACATAAAAATACTGTTCCTTTCTCTGATCTCTCCTAAGAAGAACTCTCATAGCCCTAAATAAATAGATTTTCTTTTCTTGTTAGTTCTTACCTGAAGGACAGCTCCAAATTCCCTTTCAAGGAGGTTCTTTAGGTCTTTCTTGCTTAATGCAGCTCCATCACAATTATGTGAGGCATATTGATTGAAAACTTCAGTGATATTACAGATGCTTATCAGAAGTGGAGACATTTTTTCCTTCTTTCTTCAAGTAAACCTAGAACAGCAAAATATAATTCAAAATAAAAACTCTGTTTTGGTACTTGGGAAGGCTTTGTTTACACTGTTTTAGGAAGATTCATAAATGCTTTGACTCTATAGCAGTAGCTATTTTCTTTCTTTCTTTCTTTCTTTCTTTCTTTCTTTCTTTCTTTCTTTCTTTCTTTCTTAGACAGAGCCTCAAGCTGTCCCCCTGGGTGGAGTGCTGTCGCATCACAACTCACAGCAACCTCCAACTCCTGGGCTCAAGTGAGTCTCCTGCCTCCACCTCCCAAGTAGCTGGGACCACAGCTGCCCGCACAACACCTGGCTATTTTTTTGGTTGTAGCCATCATTGTTGTTTGGTGGCCCCGGGCTAGATTTGAACCCACCATCTTAGGTGTATGTGGCTGGCGCCTTAGCCACTTGAGCCACAGGTGCCGAGCCAGCAGTAGCTATTTTCAACCTGGACTTTTTGAAGCATTTTATCTTTGAATATTGTATTCACAAAGGGGAAGAAAGATTCTGAGGAATTTCAAGTGAGAGACCCATCTTCAGACTATCCTGTAGTCAACTTTTGATTGGCTTCCCAATCTGGATTATCCACATCCTTTCCTTCTCTCTTTCTTCCAGCTCCCCAGCATATTTCAGAGCAAACAGTGAAGAGAGGGATGCAGAAATTTAGATTTTATATGTTGTTATCTGTAAATACCTTCCTGTAAAATTGAGCAAAGAGGATAGATGAAAGCCAAAAGAAGAAGAGAGACATGAGAGTATCTGAGTATCTTAAAGTGGACAGAAGCCATGTACAGTTAATTGTGTTAGCAAAACATCTGGTAGCAAATAAAACAATGAAAAGGGAATGTGAATTATCTACAACACTATAGTTCATATGAGATCTAGGAGTATAATTTATGTCATTAATTCTGAGATTAAACACTACTTCTTCCTAGTCAAAAAATGGCATTCTAAAACTTAGATATACTACTATGGGAAACAAAGTGCATGTTACCTGTTTCGACTTAGTTATACTAGGTATAGTCAGATATTCAAATTGAAAGCTTCCAAGAGGCCCTTCCTCGCTAGCTTCTAGAGTAAGCAGGCCAAACTTAACCCAGACAGCTTTTAATAATGTTGTTCTTCTGGCTAGTTTTATTATCCCAATAAGCCATTTGAATCTTAGCATTATAAAAAACATTAGCTGTCAGCAGATTGATGTTAAAAGATTGATGGCTGGCTTTGCTGACTGGGTATGTATGGTGGTTCATCCAGATAACTTCTTTATGTCCTTCTCAACTTGAATACCTCAGATACCGTAATTGTGAAGATGCACTGTATTAAGTAAAACCAATGTAAAAAGAGAAGAGAGGGTTGGAAAACTTTGGAGTTATCATCTTGGAGTTATTCACAAAGAGAAAGAAAGATTCTGAGGAATTTCAAGTGAGAGACCCATCTTCGGACTATCCTGTAGTCAACTTTTGGTTGGCCACCCAATCTGGATTATCCATATCGTTTCCTTCTCTCTTTCTTCCAGCTCCCCAGCATATTTCAGAGCAAACAGTGAAGAGAGGGGTACAGAGGAGCCCTAATATAGCTACATGTGATCACCTGCCAATGTGCAAAAGTATAGAGTTCAAAGCCTTAGAAGCAGGAACCATATCTCCCTTCTAATGATGGCTTCACTCATAAGAAGATGGATGGGATGGAGTTAGTGGCAGTTAACCACCTCTGTAAGACACTGATCCCTTTTGACACAGAGAAACTCCCCCCTATACCCCAACATCTAAAATAGCTAGAAAAAATGGAGAATTGTACCGAAGATCATGATCCAAGGAAATGGGACTTACCCACTTAACCAGAGGAAGAAGTCGAATGCTCGCTGATGCCACTGGCAAGTGTACTGGTAACTGGAAGCTGGGCCTTTTATAGGAGTTTTAATTGTGCCCTGGAGAGCAACTTGGGAAGGAGACACCCATTCTGTGGGATGGCCTGATTCATTCCTAACCAAGCCCAGCTCCACCTCAGTCTCCATGAATGGCTTGTTTATCTCACTATTTGCTCACATAGCTATTTGGCACGAGATTCACAGACCTTGCCTCCTGATGGGGTACTGGCCCCACCTAATATGAAAGGGTAGATTATTTAGCAGAATCACTAACTTTATTTATTTTTTTTAGACAGCAATAAAGAAAAGGTATTGAATGTTCAGTGTCTTAATAGATAATGACTTTATTAAGGAGTGACCTCTAAGCCGTTTACTTTAGAAAAATACAAGTTCTAGGTTGGGATTAAACAAACTTTGAAATCCACTGATGAGAACTGATTAATTCCTCCATAGGATGTGACAGTCCATGGAGAGCTGCTCAAAAGCCATGCCTGAAACAATTTTAGGATAATGGGAGAGATGTAAAAAATTGGTTAATTTCTTCTCTAAAATTCAAGTGGGAAAAAATTTTACATTTATATTCCTTGGTCTTCTGATAGGTTTCCTACAGGTTGGGGATTGCATCCTCAGTAAACAATTTTGAGGGGTACCCCAGAGATATGTTTTCATAAACTGTTCTTAGAAAACTTGAAATCTGTGAAATTTCATTGTTAGAGGTATTACTTCTAAATGCAGTTTGCTCATTTCTTTTCTCATTAACATATTGGTGCCCTGGGGGAAAAGAGCTGGTGTAATGCATTACTGTAGATGTAATCATCCTGCTTAGCCTAAGTCACTAATGATCATGACACCTGAACATTTGAGTTGGCTTCTTTTGGAAGCACATTAAGGTAATCGGTCATTCTAGCCCATTATATCCATCAGGGCTTTCTCAACCTTGGCCATCATTTGCAAATCTCAGTGCTATTTTATTGTAAGGAATTGGATTTTGTCCCTGGCTGTCAGTGACTCTCATTCTTACATTTCAGACTACATGAAACTTGGGTTCATAATAGGTTTATGGGAGCTATTAAATGATTCAGTGGCTTCTCTGCATTTCCATCTCTTCTTTTGTCCAATGGTGTGGCAAATATTGTTTACCTGAGTTTTGAGAAGACTGTAGGGTCCTTCAGTGGTACATGAAAATTTGGAACCTAAACCTTGGTGGCCATTTCTTTATGTGCAGATTGGTCCAAGTGATAGTGGAGTTAAGTTCTATTTTTTCCCTCATTTGCTGCCATCCCAGATGTGGGGTATAGGGGAAGGCAAAGTGACAGGATGGGATGACAGATGTAAGCTGGGTTCACTTCTGCTTCTTTAAGGACTTCAGCACCATAGTCTCTGATTTGGGAGTTTTCTAGAACTGTCAGAACTGTCATTATTTCTTGGGTTCAACTGGCAAACTCTATGCAGCAGCTCCTTAGTGAAAGATGAAGAATTCTCTTTTCTCCCTCTCTAATTAGGATTCAGTACAATCTGAATCTTTGGATTCCAGGATAGGGCCATAATGACCACTGACACACTGTGGCCACAGTTATCATGGACACCCACACTCTCACAGGTAGCACTGGCTTTTGTATAAGTGTCCCTCAAGGAATAACCTGAGCAAGCCCTCCTTTATGCGTTTGTTTCTGCTCTGTTGGAGAACCTCAGCCTAGATGGCGGGATGCACATGTCTGACTCCATTACCTTTCTTTAGTGAATATGCTCCCTACTGGACATTTAGTAGGTTCCATGAGAATAAAGTAAAGATACTATTAATAATTCTAGAATCATAGCTGATACGCTGGTTTCTCTTCAGAGCTTTGGAAAATGCTTAAAATTGCATTCACGATAACAGAAAAACTCTTTCTCTTCTCTGAATGAAGCTAGGTCTTAAATCCAATGATGGCTGTCTTACCCACTCTTATTTAAAGTCTGTATAATATAAGGGAACATATTTAAAAACCTACACAAACCTAAGAGAATTGGCTTATCTTCCTTTTTGCTGTTGGTATATTATCAGAAATGTTGTAAGTAGATTCAAATGCTAAATTCTAAAATTAGGATTGATACTCTCCTAATGAAGTGACTGTCATTGCTACATAATATTCTTGTATTAGTATTTTACATGGTGTCATTGAGAGTATCATTTTAATAGGGGTTCCTTACATATGGTTTGAACAGGAAAATAGTTTTCTTTTCTTTTTTTTTTTTTTTTTGAGACAGAGCCTCAAGCTGTCCCCCTGGGTAGAATGCCGTGGCATTACAGCTCACAGCAACCTCCAACTCCTGGGCTCAAGCGAGTCTCTTGCCTCCGCCTCCCAAGTAGCTGGGACCACAGGCGCCCGCAACAACACCCGGCTATTTTTTGGTTGCAGCTGTCATTGTTGTTTGGCGGGTCCAGGCTGGGGATTTGAACCCGCCACCTTAGGTGAATGTGGCTGGCGCCTTAGCCGGTTGAGCTATAGGCACCGGGCCAGGAAAATAGTTTTGAATGTTCTCTAGGTCCTTAAAAGTTTGGTAGATACCAGAGAACATAGAGAATTATCAAATCCTAACAAATTGATTCTATTTTTATTTAAGAACAATTGGGAATTCCTGAAATGTGGTAGTGTCCACTGATTGTGGTTCATCAGAAAATAATACTGTCTTTGTAATCTGAAGAGCTTCATGCTTTTCTAGACAAAGCATTTCTCTATCTCTTTTGTTTTTAAGGTTGGAGACTGAAGAGAACATTCCTGAGTGGTCCAGGAATGACCCAATTGCCCCTGCTCCATTTCTTTAAGAATGTTGTTCTTTATCAATTGGCCGAAAGTCCACCAGAACGACACTGGTTCTGAACTCTTTGAGATTTGAACTCTTTATTATGGGGGAATTAAAAAGAGAAAATAAAATTTCTCTTTAATAAGAGATTTTAGAATTTAAGATTCTTTAATATTACAGTAATCATGAAGTGCTGAAATCTTTGGAGGCTCTGCTAGATTAGAAAATAAAGAATTAAGAAAGAATTAGATTTTTCTTTATCTAATTCAAGGGCTCATTTTAGATGGCTTTGAAATACGTAAGACTCTTTGTTAAGCTCTCCAAACATCCCTTTAATGAAGATTTTTCTTTAAAATTATGTATTTAATCTTTCAAGTTTTCCTGTTATTTCCTCTTACTCATTTACCTGGGACTTGCCCTCTGTCAATCTAAAACCCAATATCATTTCTTTGATTCCCACAGAAGTTCCATCCCCTCTCCAAAGCCTTCTTTGTCCTTTAAATGCAATGATCTTCTAACTAAAAAGCATTTAATTGATGTGTAGTCAATATCATACAACCTAGGCCTAGTGTGTAATTTTCATATTCTCTAATTTAATGGATAGTTCTTTTGTCTTCTCAATCAGGTTTTAAGTTCCTTGACAGGAGTTTTTATTTCTCCTGGGTGTTTAATAAAATCCTTATTGATATGATATACTTTTATTGCATCGTGGCTGTTTAAATGGCCAACAGGTCAGAATGAGATGAATCGCTTACTCTGGGATGGACTGTCTGCTTAGATGATGGCTAGTGGATGAGGGCATCCAGCATCATGGCAGTCAGCCTTTCTGGGCCCTCTTTCTTGTTTCACCACTTATAGGACAGGTGACAGAGGAGGTGGTGCTTCCACCCTCCTCTGCCCATGCTCATCACTTTATCCTCTGTTAAGTGAAGAACTGTAAGATATGAATCCCTTCCTCAGAGGGGAACTGTGATAATTACAGCTTGTAAAACATTTTCTGATTCTTAGATATAAAAGGGCTAATTATGATCATTAATAATTCTTAATTTTTATCTTCTTTAAGGTAAATTATCCTTACTTTAATTACATCCCCACCCTGGTGGTAATTATATCTCTGAGAGTCAGCAGATGCTTTTGTCTTACGTCATGCCATGCAAGGTGACTGGGCACAAATGCTCAGAAAGGGCATATCTACCTTCTGCCCACTCCTACTGTCACCTGCAGTACAGAGAGCAGGAGCTTTATTTGTTGTAGATCTCAAGTTGGTTATAGATCTCAAGTGACTTGTTTTTCATTGGTTATAGATCTCAAGTAACTTGTTTTTCTCTTCTTTAACTGTACCTTTATCCTACCCAGTGGCTCCTCAATTTCGCAGAGCTTTGAGATTTGTCAAAAGACACTAAATGGGACAAATGAATTTAACTTTTGTAATTTGATGAGTTTATGAATGAAGGAATCAGGCCTCTTTGACAGGGTTGCAGAGACTTTATGGTCTCTATAATAAAAATAGTCTCAGCTGTCAAGTGAAAGAACCACCATAGCTCTTCAGGAATAGAGTTGCTGTGTGATATTCTTTGTTTTTCTTGGCATTATATGTGTTTCTAGTTGAGTGTTAAGCCAGTTTTCAGGATGGGGGAAAGAATTTGTGTCCAAAGAATTGAAAAAAAAAATTTTTGTTGTTGTTGAAAGAGATTTTGCTTCTGAGAAAAGTTATACCACACAGGAGGTTGGAAGCTGAGGCTTCATACATCCTTACTGTGGGAAAAAAGGTTATGGCCTCCCAAATGTGAAAAAGAGCACAGGCAGGCATGTGCCAGTCTGTCTTGGAATTTTTTTCTCTAGGCCCAGACATCCAATAACTACCCGATATCACGATCCAGTTATTGAGTGCTAATCTTGGGTGTGTCAACACTGTGAGTCCTACCAGAAGTAAGGTAGGAGGGTGGGTGCAATGTTGACAGTGCTTGGCAGCTTTCTTTCTGGCCTTGGCCTTCAGAGCGGTGCATGCCTCTTTGAAGCTCTTCCTTCTCCCTTCCTCCCACCCCCAGCAGCCACCTTTCAGTTTCTTTCCTTTCCTCATTTCCTCTTATCTTCTTTTTAATTTCCTTTTCCCTGTCCTACCCTCAAAAACATTAAAAACTCAGGCAGACAAATAGGATAACAATGAAGAAGCTTTGAGGGGCCCAGTCAAGGTTCTTGTCCCTTGGCCTCCAGTGAGCATCAGACTGAA